GGGTGCTTGGCAGATTCTGGGAGTTTCTCAAAAGAACTGGCACCTGGGCTCCACCTTGAGATTCTGATGTCATTGCCTGTGGGCAGCATTTGCTCAAAGCTCAGCAGATGGTTCTGATGCAGCCATGGCTGAGAACCACTGAGGACAGGCTCCCAGTGGACAGGTGCCCATGCTCTTGGTGGCCTGACCCCGGCTGCAGGAAGGCTGGCAGCTCCGCGCACACTGAAAACATGGTGAGCACCTACTATTGTAAGATGCTCCTGAAGTCAGGGGAAGCTGTTGAGAAGGCTGCTTCTTCCTCCTCCTCCAACCCTGCCTCTCTCCAGCTCATCCATCCTCCCTCCTGGAGCTACAGTCTTCCTTTTTCAGGCACAGGATCATCTCCAAGCCTCAGAAATGAGGGCATATCCCAGAACAGTGCTTTTCCTGGTCCAGTGGCCGGGCTCACTTGTTTCTGTGAAGGATTCAACTCACTCATCACACACCTGTTATGGACTGGATGCTGTGCTGCGCACCAGGATGCAAGGAAGGGTCAGACACAAGGATGCAGACACTGACATATGTAGTAACTAGATAGATGGGTGCATTAATTTTAGAGGTGTGTTCAGGGCTAGAGGGACAGAAGGCAGACAGAAGGGAGGGGTTTGCTGGGTGAGAGGGTTGCAAGGAAGTCTTCAAAAAAGATGGACTGGGCTCTGAAGCATGAATAGGAGTTTTCCAGGTGGATCAGTGGAGGCAAGAAGGGGAAGAGCCTCTTGCTGGGACCTATCCCGGCTACACACTGGAGACACTTGGAGGAGACTTGGAAGAGCAGATGGCTGAAGAGCAGGGTATACTTGTCTGCTTTCATGGTGGGACTTTTAGCTCTGGGGTTTCTCTTTAGTGATTACAGTGTATTCCACCCATGTGAAGTCTGCCTCCATCCAGGGGCCATGGAGACAGTGAAAACAGGCTGCTCTGGGGTGTGGGGCAGGGAAGAACCCACTAGCCCCTGCATATGCCCAGGCACAGACATGGAGCTCACGGGCGGCTCTCCCACCTCCAACCTAAACTGACCCAACATCGCTTCTTGACTGAATGGTTGCCGCAGATCTCTCCCCCTCTGCCTGCTGCTAACCATGTCCAGGGTGACCAGCTCATCCAGGCTTGCTGTGACTCTCAGATTTAGCACTGACTGTCCTACCACCTCCTGGGAAACCCCTCTGCCCAGGAAAACCTGGACATAGGTCATCTCAGCTCACACAGTAGCCACATGACCCTTTAAGAACGCATGTAACATCTCGCCACCCCTTGCTCAACGCCATCCACAGCTTCCCTCTCAGAGCAAAGGCCCGCGGTCCTTTACAGTGGCCCACATCGGCCCCTGGCTCAGGTGCCAGGGGTGTCGTGCTCCCCAGCTCCGCCCATGCCCCTCCTCACCAGCCACACCAGCCTCCTCGCTTTCTCTAAGCTGCCTTTCACCGCGAGGCCTTTGCACTCAGGTTCTCTTTGCCTGGAACACTCTCCCTCTTCGATCTCCTGGCTCACACTCTCCCTGTCCCGGGAGGTTCTAACATTACCTTCTCAGAGAGACCTTCCCTGACTCCCCTGCCCCACACCACCCCCTACGCCAGAGCCCCGTTTCCTTTTCCTTTGTGCACGTCCCTCCTCCCCACCCCCCGACCCGCGTACTTTCTCACTGAGCTTCTCTCTCCTGCTCCCACACAAACACGTGAAAGCGGGGCCTGGTTCACGCACTGCTGAGTGCCTCCTACCGAGAACACTGCCTAGTATGTGCTCAATTAATGACGAATGAATGGGTGCATAAAATCTGGACAACCTGCTCAGCTAAGGGCCAAGGAGAGGCAAGGGCAGCTCTCCCCCAGACAGCCTGGCGCCGGGCTCCCGGGTGGCCTCAGGCGGCCCTGTCCGGAGCTCCCAGGTGCCCGGGGCTTAACTCAGTGGACACCCTTCACATCGTCTTGTAAGCGCCTGGCTTGGACTGAGCCCAGGAGACCTGAGCGGCTTTGTTCGCTGTCACATTACTGCGCTTGGCTTACGGTCAGTGCAAACCCCGCAGCTCTTTCCTTCCATCGTCTGCAGTCCCAGGGCTGACGGCTCTGCCTTTGCCTGGGAGATACGAACACACACCGATTAAACCTGACAAGGGAGGGGGTAGAGTTGAGGGATGTTTTTCAGGGAGGGAATGCACTGGTTTTATTTATTTAGCTATTCTTCTAATTCTTACTATTATTTTTTTAAATTGAAGTATAGTCAGTTTACAACGTTGAGTCAATTTCTGGTGTACGGCGTAACGTTTCAGTCACACATATACATGCGTGCGTATATTCCTTTTCATATTCTTTTTCATTAACAGTTACTACAAGATATTGAATACAGTTCCCTGTATGATTAAAGTGTGCATAGTTCTTATCTGTGTCTGATAGCAGTGTCTCTCTGTGTTTTGCATTAGTTTTTAAAAACTGTCCGCTAGGCACCCGGCGTGCGCGGCCTCTCAGGCCTGCTGTGTGGGCGCTGCAGCACTAGGTGGCGCTCGCGCCTGCATGTCTTTCGGGGACGGTGAGCCCGCCCAGGTTGCTTTCTGGTCACTGCGGAACTGTGAGCACCTGGCTGTCACTGAGAACGCTGGCGGGAAAGATGCTGTCGCCGGGACGGCTCAGGCTGCACCTCGGGTCCTGGAGTCCCCAGCACCTCCGGGAGGAACTGCTCCTGATCTCTCCTTGGACCCGGGATTTGGGAGGGGACTAATGGGGTGGTGCCTTTAGCCCCGGGATGCCTCAGTCCTTGGCTGCCTCCGCTCGGCCCCACCCTGAGCAGAAGTTTCCAGCCCCGAGAAGAGGGTGCGAGATAAGAGAGGAAGTCTTGTCCCAGCTCTGTCCCGTGACCCCAAGGAGCTCATGGTGGGCAGGTGGGCTCTAAGCTCCCCAGGGCAGGCCCTGCCCTCTGGTCACCCTTGTACCCCGCTACTAGCCGACACTGGGCACCTGATAAATCATTGTGGAACACTGACAAAACATTGTGGAATGGACGCGGATGGACACCCTCAGGACCCTGTGGAAGGACCTCAGAGGGGCGCCCCCACTGAGGGCTGTGGGCATGCCACATGGTTCTGGGCAGCTGGGGTCTACCCGAGGGCACTGGCAGTGAGTGAAGGGGCTGTGCCCAGGGCCGGCCTGTAGGGAGGTGACAAGTGAATGAACAGGACAATGGGAAAGCAGAGCGGTCGACCTTCCTGCCAGAACAGTGGTGCTCAGTGGGCAACTTTGTCCACCTGGGGACATGGGCCACTTCTGGAGACACTTTTGATTGTTACTGCTAGGGGAGGTGGGCATGCTACTGGCACTTGGAGGCAGGGGTCAGGGATGCTGCTGCAAGACACTGTACAATGCACAGGATGGCACCACAGCGAAGAAGCTCCGATGTTAGCGGGGCCAAGGTTGAGGAACCACAGGAGAAAGTGGAGGGGCTCTGCCCACATTGTTGGGGTTCTCTGGTCTCACAGTGGCTCTGCATCCCCTTCACGACTTCCACCATCCCCAGCATGGGGACCTGAGACCTTATCAGCAGTGACTGCAGTCCTGGTCCAAGTTGACTGTAGGGATCCGGCTCCTGGCCAGGCTGAGGCTATGCAGAGAGCTCTGTCTGTCCAATGGCAGAAATCCATCATTGGTTCCAGTCCCTCCTCCCAGATGCCAGGATGCCGCGTGCCCACTGCCCTGCTGGCCTTGGGCTATTGACTCTGACTGCAGGACCCATCCCTCCTGTGGCTTAAGGCAAGCTCTGACCTGCTGCCGCCTGACAGCCCAGGGGCGGGGAGGGGGAGGGCTTCTGTAAACACAGCCTGGGGACCATGGCTTTTCCATGGCAACCGCTCAGTGCTGGGTCTGCTCCTGCGGCACACTGGGGACACGCAGCCTGTGTCCTACCCAGAGAGCAAGTTGGCCCAGAGAGTTTATTTTCAATCTGTTGGGGAAAAAACAGTATTACTCAAGGGAGCCAAATCTTTGGGTTTGCAAAATACTGGTTCTTTTGTTTGCCCTTTCATTTCTTCCCCTGTCCCTTCCTTTCTTTCTCCTTCCATTTTGTTGTTTGTTCGTGTTAAAATTTTATGCTTTGTTTTTCATATGGTTTTATCCTGATTAGGCTATTTTCCATGTTTTTCTTTAGTAAATTTCTCCGGATTATATAGTTAATCTTGTTTTTATTGGACTGTTGTGAGCTATATAATATTAGAAGCTGTGTGTCTCCATCCATCTATCCACCCACCCACCTACCCATATGCCAGCCAACTCAACTGTTCATCAATCCAATCATTTATCCAACCCTCATCCATCCATTCATCCATCCATCTCCCCACCCACCTGCTTATCAACACATTCATCCACTCACCCATCCATCACTTCATCCATCCAACCAGCCAACAACCCATCCATTCATCTGTCCATCCATCTACTCATCACACACATTTGGCATGCCTGCTGTCTGCCTGGCCCACAGACCTTACTCTCACAGAGATATCCTTCCAGTTGAGGGTGTAAATTCACAAAATGTTAAATGCAACTCGAGTGCTATGTACAAAGTCCTATGGGACCAGAGAGAAGTCGCTGGCTAACTTAGTGGGTAGTCAGAACAACCTCATAGCGGAAGGGCTTATCAGGAAAGCGGTAACTCATTTCTAACTACTAATTAAAAGCAGAGGTAATGATGTGTGACTTGAGCAATGAGGTCAGTAAAGGCACTGAGGCTTTTTCCCTTTGTCTTCTTTGGACCACCTGCTTTGGGGAAAACCATCTGCCACCTTGTGAGGACACTCAGGCAGCGAAGAAGGAGGCTCACAAGGGGAGGAACTGAGGCCTCCAGCCAACAGCCACGTGGATGCGGATCCGCCAGCCCCATCAAGTGCTCAGGAGACTGCAGCCCTGGCTGCGTCTGCAAGCCCCTGAGAGATCCTGAGCTAGAACCGTCCAGCGAAGCAGTTCCTGATTCTTAACTTACAGAAACATATTTGTTGTTTTCAGCCACTAGGTTTAGAGGCAGGTTATTGTGCAGCAACAGAGAACCAGTACAGAAGCTCTGTGCCTTCGGACAAGTTAATTAAATCTCCCTCTGCTTCCTCACCCGTGTAATTAGGGTGATAATAATGATGTCTACATCGTAGAGGAGAAAGGATGTTGTGAATTTGTACATACACAGGACTGAGAACAGTGCCTGGCATGCAGTAAGTACTCAGTCAATGCGACTTATTTTTAACTATTATTAGTAGTAATTGCTACTAATTTGGGGCAAAGGTGGAAGAGTGGGGAAGAAGGAGAGTTCCTGCTGGATGAAGGGAAGGTGGACTCAGCCCTCATCTTAACCGGCTGGTGAGATCTGGCAACCCAAACTCAGCACGAGGGTGAGGGTGTCCACTGGCCAGTGAGGGAGTGAAGGAAGGGGAGTGAGGTCATTGTAGGAGGACCGTCGGTGCCCAGAGCCCCGTTGGTCTCAGTGCCTTCTCCTGGTTGCCTTATGCAGTGAGCCAGCATGCCGAACTCACACACCTCCTAGACTTTGTTGAAAAAACCCGATCTACTGACCGCACAGGGCTTTACCAAACATCCTCATGGCTCATTTCTGAAGCAACTGAGAGTTATCTGTGGGCATCGGTGCCCAAGGAAGCCCTGAGTCAGCAGAAGGGCCAGTTAACATTGTGACTCCTTTTATTAAAATTCCTGTTTGACTCTAGCTAGATGTTTGTATATAAATAAATAACCTACAGAGAGTCACTTTTTAAAAACTTAAATCTCAGGTACGAAGGCTAGACGTGTAGATTCCACTCACTCTTTCTCAAGTGGCTTCCCCCACTGGCCAGGAGCACTTATAAACAACAGCTCATGTTCAGTTGCTGTTTACTTAATCTTCTCCCTTTTGGGAGGAAAAGCATACGGAGACTCCAACTTGTCGTAGGAATTCCTGGGGAAACAAGTCCTCTAGGGACAGATCAGAGTGAAACATGTAACCAAGAACCATGTGTGTGAGAGTAACGGGACTCTGCTCACCAGAGGGCGGGACCCTGCTCCGATCAGCCGGCGCCCGGCCCAGCCGCTGACTGAGGGCACCTGCAGGAAGGCAAGCCAGCGTGCATGGGACGGCGTCTCTGCTGGCTTCCCAAACGTTTGGCTGCCGTCAAGGGCCTGCCCGTTTCGGTCCTTGCGACGGGGCTGTTTCTCAGACCTGTGCTTCCCAGGACCCTCTAGCATGCCCCCCACCCCCAGCTCAGGTCCTGAGACTGCACCAGTCCCCAAGGACAGTCACTGCCCGAGCCACAGCATGGCTGCTTGGCCGACTCTGCGCCCCACGTGGCTGTCATTGAAACCTGTGGTATCCATACCATGATGGTTAATTGTACGTGTCAACTTGGTGGGGCCACCGGGTGCGCAGATATTTGGTCAAACGTTACTCTGGGTGTGTCTGTGAGGGTGTCTCTGGAAAAGGTTCATGTTTGAATTGGTGGACCGAGTAAAGCAGAAGGCCCTCCCCAACGTGGGTGGAGCTCACCCTGCCTGTTAAAGGCCTGAATAGAACAGAAAGGTGGAGGAAGAGAGCTTTTGCTTCCTCTGTTTGTCTTCCAGCTGGGATGTTGGTCTCCTCCTGCCTCTGCACTTGGACTTGGAATTGGATTTGGACTTGGACTTGGACTGGGCTACACCACTGGCTCTCCCGAGTGTCCAGTTTGGCAACTGCAGATTGCGGGACTTCTCAGCCTCCATAGCTATGTGAGCCAGTTCCTTATAATAAATCTCTTTATCTGTCTTCTATCTATGTCCATCTATTAACTATTACCTGTCTGTCTGTTTGTCTGTCTGTCTGTCTATCTATCATCCACCCATCCCTATCCTACTGGTGCTTTTTCTCTGGAGAGCCCAGACTAACGTGCCTACTGCACAGAACAGTGCAGCCACCATCTCCACGACCCTTCCTGGGGCTTTTTCAACTCACACCTCTGGGACCTCAGTGCTCACTGGAGAGTCCATTCTCTCTCGAGAGGGGGTCCCACTGCTGCTGGCAGATCTTGTATTTCTGCAGAGTTTCCCATCAAGGGCACTGGGGTGAGCAACATGTTGGTTGCAGAGGGAGCTGTGACTCCCTAGGGCTGATGGCAAGATTTCTAAGCAATTTCAAGAAACCTCCCCAGTACATATCAAGGAGTAGATTTAGTGCGTAGTCCCATGGCCCCCTCAGAAATAAGAATGCCAAGGCCCAGATTGCCTCTCGTCTCTAACTCTCCAGGGGTTAAGTTTTCTCGATGCTTGACTTTTCCTAGCATTTCTTCATTGGAAGCAACAACTTGAGACTCTCAGATTAGTGGAGGAAATCCCCAAGGTGTTGGCAGGGGTAATGCAACTGAAGTGAAGGATGATCTAGAAATGGCCAGATGGTAATTTGATAACTGGCGAAGCTTCTCTGATTGGGCCCATCTCTCCATCTTCTGTGGATGGTTCTGTATTGGTTTTGGTCTGAGAGGAGAGTGATGGACACTTACCAGTGAATTTAGCGCGGGATCCTGTGTTGCTCTGAGCTGAATATAAACCTGTAATCTGATCAGGAGCTTCTGACAGAAGCCTTTTGGCTTCACTCTGATCTGTCCCTAGAGGCTCTGCTTCCTTAGGAATGTCTGCACTCAGTCTGATTCTTTTAACCTTTTTTTTGATTCTAAAAGGAAACACATGAGTAATGTTTTCTCGTCTTGCTGTTCATTAAACTTTCTCTCTGTGAACGTCTATGTGGCTGGTGAATTGTGCGAGTGAAGTCAGCTGGCAACAACGAAAAAGCTAAGAAAATGAAGAGAAGGTAAAGGGGGGGCAGTGGTTTCTGGAAGGTCAGGGCTCCGGGCAGCCGCCTTGGCCCACCGAGCTCCCCACCATGGAGTCCCATGGCTGACTGTTGATGGTGATGGCTACCTGCTGCTCTGTTTCTTTATTTAGGGGAAAGAGGTCTGGCGTGCCCACATGCTGAGGGACTGGCCTGGGCCTGATGCTTTTCTGTCTTGCTGGTTCCTTTATTCCCCAAATACCATTTGTTTAGCTGCCCTGTTAGAGACAGCAGAAGGGGAGGGCTACTCGGAGGGATGGTGCGTTAACTTCTTGTGGCTGCCAAGTCTTGGGACAAATCGCCACAAACTGCGTGGCTTAGAACAGCATGTTTTCTCTCCTAGATCTTGGGGCCCGAAGTCTGAGATCCAGGTGTCAGCGGGGCTGGGCTCCCTCTGCGGGCTCTAGGGGAGGACCCTTCCTGCCTCTTCCAGCTTCTGGTGGCCCCAGGTGTTCCTTGGTTTGTGGCCTCGTCACTCCCGTCCCTGCCTCCATCGTCACATGGCCTTTTCCCCTGTGCCTTCTTCTCTTCTGCTCCTATAAGGGCACTTGTCACAGGATTTAGGGACCACGTGGGTTATCCAGGATGATCGCATCTCGGAATTCTTTGCTTAATTACATCTCCGAGGACCCTCTTTCCAATAAGGCCCTATTCAGAGGGACTGGCGCTTAGGGCATAAACATCTTTAAGGGGGTCACCAATTTACCCCCTACAGATGGGCTGGTGCCTGAGCAGTGACCCGAGTGGTCTGCTGTGGCCCCGAGAACTACAGAAGGGCGCTCCGTCTGCCCCTGCAGCCTGCCGGGAAGGCGCCGCAAGCCCAGCAGTTTTCGGGAGCTCCGGAGCGAGGCAGGGGCAGGGATGCTTCACGAAGGAGCAGACCCTCGGGAACGGCGCTCTCTGGCCGAGTCAGAGCTCCGCCGCCCAGCCCGCCTTTCCAAGTAGATCCAGCTTGCTCCCACCCACTGCGCTCGGTCTCTGGCGTCAAGCGAGGGCAACATTCCTGGAAACGTGTGTCCCCTGGATCATATCACCGTCCTGATATACATGATAATTTCTTCTGTTGTGTGTTCCCAGAGGGAGGAAATCAGCCACAGGACATCACCAAAATTCACATAGACGCCCCAACAAGCCTGAAAGAAAAGTCGTATTTGCAGGAAAAGATGGAGCCAGTGCCGCAGGTGTGGATCCCCCGGGGACAGCCATGGCTTGGACGCCCAGAGACGTGGCAGTCAAGAAAGCCCCATTCCTGGAGGGATTTTCAAGGTTCTTGCTTTTTTAAAAACAGCATTTAAAGAGAGCAGCTTTGATTAAATTCTTCCTCAGGGTTCCCAGAAACCATCATCTTTCTCCTCCCACCTCCCCTCCTCTGCGCCCATTGGCTTCGCTGCAGTTCAGTGAATACACTGCAGACCATGCTTCTCATCTGAGGAATCTCGGATGCTGTCTCTTCAAGGCCTGTCTTCCCAGCTCGGCATGCTTATTCGTCGGCAGAAGAGGGAAGGAAATCTCAAAGCCTGATGGGGGTGGTAGGAGGTCGGAGTCTGAGATCAAGGTGTCTGCAGTTTGGTCTCTTCTGAGGGCAGTGATGGAAGGTCTTTTGCAAGACCCTCTCCCTTAGCTTTGCTGCTTTGCTGGCCCTCTCTGGCCTTCCTTAGCTTGCAGATGCACTACATCCCCCCACCCCACCCCGCCCCGATCTCTGCCTTCACCTTAATATGATGCTCTCCAGGAGCACGTGTCTCTGTCCAAATTTCCCCTTTTATAAGGACAGCAGCCATATTGGGTTAGGATGAGGGACCTAATCGTACTCCAGTAAGACCTCATCGTAACTAATTACGTGTACAGTGACCCTATTTCCAAATAAGGCCCCATTCTTAGGTACTGGGAGTTAGGACTTTACCTTCTGAGTTTTGGGGGACACAGTTCAACAATAACAACTGTGAAAGGTCATGTGGGCACAGGCAGCTTAGGGGAGCTCAGACTGATATTTGAAGCAGTCACTAAAACCAAAAGATCAGGAATATTTATTATCGATTTGTGTTTTCTTCTGCTGGAGATGGTCAGGAAAAATCACAAAGTATGAGAATTCAAGTGAGCAGAGAAAAGAACGGACAGTTCAGTGGGCAGTGTTAGGACAGCCAGCAGGTCATTCGGAGTAAAATGCAAGCGGGCTCCCAGCTAAGTCCAGCTGGGTCAAAGATCTCAGTCTAAAAGTTAAACTGTTAAAAGGACTGTGGGAAAACAAGGCAGTTATTTCATGTTAGTAGCATTGGAATAGGGTAAGACTACCTCTACTCTTGTGTTCCTAAAACATGAACTTGCCTATGGCACAAAACTAGGATCTCATACGGAAAAATATTGGAAAGTTTCACTACATAAAATAAAACCATTATAAAAATATTCAGGCCAAAGGTAAAAGAATAAAAATATCATTAACAAAGAAAGCCACGAGACACAGGACAGGCTGTGAAAAACATGCATTTGCACGACACGTAATGGAGAAAGGGTGAATTTTCTTTGTATAAAACAGGACTTTCCAAATCAGGAAGAAAAAGCTAAACATCCACTTGAAAAAAATGGGCAAAGGGCAGAGAAAACAGCACCAGTAAATATATTAAAAAATGCTCAACTCCACTCTAAGAAATGTAAATGATGCCCCGTTTTCTCTCACGCAACCAGCAAAGATCAGTGAGCTGTTCGTCTCCAGTGAGGGTGAACGTCTGTGCATGCAGCCTGCGCCCCTCTGGAGGGAGGGCTGTGAATCCACGCAACCTCTGGGGGGCAATTTGGCAGCATCTTTAAAAGCAAAATACGCATATCCTCTTTTCGCCCATCAATC